AAATGGAATGGGAAAATATATTTGCAAATAACAGTTTTGACAAGGGTTAATATCCAAAATATATAAAGAACTCATACAACTCAACAACAACATAAACAAACATCCCATTAAAAAATGGGCAGAGGACATGAACAGACACATACAAATGGCCAAAAGATGTATGAAAAGATGCTAAACTTTACTAGCTATTACAGAAATACAAATCAAAACTACAATGAGATGCCACTTCACACCTGTTAGAATGTCTATTATCAACAAGACAAATAATAACAAATGCTGGAGAGGGTGTGGAGAAGAAGGAACCTTCATTTGCTGCTCCTGGGAATGTAAAGTGTTATAGCCACTATGGAAAACAGTATGGAGTTTCCTAAAAAATTAGTACCCAGCAATCCCTCTTGTGGATATCTACCTAAAAATTTTAAAAAATATATTTTTATTAATTTCAGAGAGGAAGTAAGAGGGAGAGAGAGATAGAAACATCAATGATGAGAGAGAATCATTGATTGGCTGCCTCCTGCATGCTCCCCACTGGGGATTGAGCCTGCAACCTGGGCATGTGCTCTTGACCAGAATTTAACCTGGAACCCTTTAGTCTGCAGGTCGACGTTCTATCTGCTGAGCCAAACCGGCTAGGGCTACCTAAAAATTTTTAAAGCATTAATTTGTAAAGATATATGTATTCCTATGTTCAATGTAGCATTATTCACAGTGTCCATGACATGGAAACAACTAAAGTCTTTTGATAGATGGTTGAATAATGTGGTACAAACAGGGTGTCTATAACATAGTGATCACCCCAATAAACTTAGTACCTGCTGATACCATACATAGTTATTACAGTATTATAGACTATATTCTCTATGCTATACTTTACATCCCCATGACTATTTTGTAACTACCAATTTGTACTCCTTAATCCTTTCCTCCTTTTCACCCATCCCCTTAACATCCCTCTTATCTGGCAAACTATCAAAATGTCCTCTGAATTTATGAGTTTGTTTCTGCTTTGTTTGCTCATTTGTTGTTTTGTGTGTGTGTTTTTTTTAGATTCAGCATACGAAAGAAATCATATGGTATTTGTCTTTTGTATGATTTATTTCACTTAACATAGTACCCTCCAGTTCCATGTTATTGCAAATGCAAGATTTCATTCTTTTTTTATGGCTAAGTCATATTCCATTGTATATATTCACCACTTCTTTATTCATCTATTGATGGACACTTAAGTTGCTTCCATATTGGTTATTGTAAATAATATTGCAGTGAACATATGGATGCATATGTCTTTTTGAATAAATGTTTTGGGTTTTATCAGAAAAACACCCAAAAGTGGAATTGCTGGGTCGTTCTTTGTCTCTTATTATAGCCTTTATTTCAAAGTCTATTTTTTCTAGTATAAGTATTGCTATCCCCGTTTCCATTTTCATATCTTTTTCTATCCCTTTACTTTCAGTCAGTGTATGTTTTTTAATCTGAAGTGAGTCTATTGTAAACAGCATATATGTAAGAATCTTTTCTTATAAATTCATTTATCATATGTAATTTGATAGGAGTATTTAATCCATTTAACATAACCTTTCAGCGAGTATTTTACCCTCCGGCCTCACGCAGAGTGTGCTATGGTTGCTGGGCGCCGGGGTGGAGCGTTATAGACCTGAAGGAGTTATAGATCCTCAAAGATGATAATACTGGAGAAGACGAAGAAACGAAGGAAATGGTCTTCTCAGGAACAGAGGAAACAAAACCACCGGTGACAAAAAGTGCTTGTCCTCCACAAGGACGATTGAAGAACTGTATTACAAACGGAGTTTTACTTTTTATCCTATGGTTTGCAATCTGGTCAACCTCAAGCCCTGACCGTTACCCTGATGAAAATTTATTTGGACTATTCATTGTCTTTTTTTGTTCCCTAATTGGGGCCAAACTTTTGGAAGTCATTAGAATACCTTCAGTGCCTCCACTTCCATCTCTTCTTGGGATGTTATTGTCTGGTTTTACCATTAGGAATGCTCCATATATATCAGTGAGTGCATCCATATTAGTAACAAGTGGTCTTCAACTTTAAGAAATACTGCCCTTACCCTTTCCTAATAAAAGCTGGACTTGGACTCGATCCACAGGCTTTGAAGTGTTTGAAGAGAGTTTGTTTAAGATTGTCTCATGGAGGCATGTTCGACTGCTGTTATTTTCCACTTCCTTATGAATTTTCCCTGGGAATGGGGATTTCTTTTAGGTTTTGTGGTAGGTGCTGTCTCTCCAGCTGTTGTTGTCCCTTCCATGCTACATTTGCAAGAAGAAGGATATGGCATTGAGAAAGGCATTCCAACCTTACTAGTGGCTGCTAGCAGTGTGGATGACATCGTCGCTATCACTGGATTTAGTACATTCATGAGCATATCTTCTCCACAGGTGGCATACTTCATAACAGGGGTCCTCAAACTTTTTAAACAGGGGGCCAGTTCACTGTCCCTCAGACCATTGGAGGGCCGGACTATAGTTTTAAAAAAAAACTAGTCGGCTGCTAAGCAATAGGCAGCGGGGGCAAAAACCCCCGGAGGGCCGGATAAATGTTTTCGGCGGGCTGCATGTGGCCCGCGGGCCATAGTTTGAGGACCCCGGCTTCATAATCCCCTAACTTCTTTTCAGAATGTAATTATTGGTGTGCTACTAGGAACATTTTTGGGAATTTTTCTTTGATATTTTCCAAATGAAGATCAGACAAATCTTCCAATGAAGAGAGCATGCCTTATTTTGGGTTTGTGTGATTCTGCTGTCTTAGTCAGCAATAGCATCAGTATACGTGGAGCTGGAGGATTATGCATACTAATGTTGACTTTCATTGGAGGAATGACCAAAGATAAGATTGGAGTCCAAAAAATTATTGCATTTGATTAGGATACTTTTCAACCCCTTCTTTTTGGTTTGGTTGGATTGGAAGTATCTATTGCAGCTCTTAAATCAGATGCTCTTGGTATTTCTATTGCTAATATGAGTTTGGCATTATTGGTTCAAATTTCTTTTATATTTTTCTTGATGTCTTTTGCTGGTTTTAATTTTAAGAAAATATTTATTGCTCATTTTGGCCGCCTCTCTGCTTTTTTTTGTTTCTATGTATGAGGTAGAGCTGCTACATCTCCTAGGCTTAGCAGCATGGCCTAATGTAGTAGATGTCCTGTAGGGTCCAGTGGAATAGCCTCCCTGATCATCCCAGCTGGGAATATGAGGTGTGCCCCTCATGTGGGCTGTATACCCTTCTGTTGTAATTGAGTCTTGATTGCTCTTGGCCCATCAAGGACTGGCTTTGATCACTGACCACCTACCTGTGACCACCTTGGAGGATCAGCTGTGCAGGGGCCCACCACACAAAGCAAGACTTACTGCAGTAGGGCTCTGGTAACCACTGAGTCCACCCCTTGAATGTGTCAGAGGTGGTTGAATGATGGTGCTTCAACATGGTCTGAAGTTATCCACTGGTTGTACTGGCTCTGGGGCCTCCCAGAAGGTGCAGGCCAACATCAGTCACTGCCTGTGTTCTGCCTGGGGCCACCAGGCATGTTACAAAGTAGTCTGTGGATGGCTACTTCTTGTGCTGGGCTTAGAGGTACCCAGGCAAGGCCAAGCTGTGAACCAAGGCTGGCTGCTGCTAGTGCCAGGCCTGGGACCACTTAATGAGAGGTATGGGGTTTGCTGAGGCCAGATGCTACTTGTCTGAGAGATTTTAGAAAAATCTGAAGCCTGAGCCAGGGTATTCCTATGATAAAGCCACTGGAAATAGCTTGGGTGGGCCTGAAAATTGGACAGTATGAGCCATATTAATAGAGTCTCAGACATGGCACCCATCTGCTGGCTCTGAGGGTAAAGGGCTCAGAAAAAATAGCCTCTACAAGCACTCCTGTCTGGGAGAAGGCTGCCCCTCTAGCTTTCACCCTGATGCCAAACAATTCACTTCCTTCCCATATGTCTCTCATGCCTTTTAAGCTGCTGCCTTTGAGCTGGAGCTCAGAGGGAGTGAGTCCAAATAAGTCTATATGTGGACCCTTTAAGAGGAACTGCCTGGGATCCCAGCAGTCTCAGCCTCCCTCAGCTTCAATCCATGCTGGTTTTTACAGCCACAAGTTATGGGACTTCTGTTCTTGGCACTGAAACCCTGTACTGAAACCCTGAGCTGTGGGGAGGTGGGGGGGGGGGGGGCTTTACCCTCAGCGGGGACCTTCACAGCCAAGATATCCCTCAAGGTTATTACCTACCATGTGTGGGAATGGGACCAGCCCTTCCGCGTCTCCGCCCCACCTACCAGTTTTGATGTGGCTTCTTCTTTAATTTCATAGTTGTAGGACTTCTATTCAGCTTGATTTCAGGAGATTCTGAATGATAGTTGTTGTATAGTGTAGTTGTAATTTTGATGTGGTTGTGGGAGGAGGTGGAGCACCACCTTTACCTACGCCAGACAGATGAATATTTTCTAATCTTGGAATAAACAAACATTTCTTAGAGAGGACACTGAAAACACTAATCAAAAACATAAAATAAGATAAATTGGATTTCAAAACTTTAAAAACTTCAGTTCATTATAATACCATTAAGAAAACACATAGAATAGCCCCAGACTTGGAGAATAAGTAAATTAAACTTTTACATAATGATACATACAGGAAGTACAATAAAAAATAATATTGCCCCAGCCGGTTTGGCTCAGTGGATAGAATGTCAGCCTGTGGACTGAGGGGTCCCGGGTTCCATTCCAGTCAAGGGCACATACCTAGGTTGCAGGCTCAATCCCTGGTCCTGGTCAGGGCACATGTGGGAGGCAACCAATCGATGTGTCTCTTTCACATCAGTATTTCTCTTTCTCTGTCTCCCCCCCCCCCTTCACTCTCTCTAAAAGTCAATGGAAAAAATATCCTCGGGTGAGGATTTAAAAAAAATTCCATTTATGATACAATATATAAAACACTTGAATTCCAAGCATGAACTTGTAATGATGAATAAATGGGAAAAAAACCCCTGGAAATTTATACTTTATACTTCATTGTGCATAGATTATAATAAAGATGACAACAATTTCTAATTTAGTAAAGATATTTTAATGAAAGACTAATGAATTTTTCTCAGGATATTTTAAATAACATTTTAAAATGGGATTTTCAATTCAAGGAAATGTGTCTTTGTTTTTAGTTTGTTGACTTTTGTTACTAGTGCATTTTTATCAGATTGAATTGGGGCAATCAGGAATTCTATAATTGGTCTTTAATTTGCTAGTGGATATTCAAACAAACCTTCAAATAAAGGTTAAGAATACTGGAATGAAAATTAGACCATGAGCAGCCCCAAATACCATAACAAGAAACATAATCTTAAAAAATGTCCTGAAGATGTATGCTTTGGCTGCAGATAAGACAGACACCCCTATTATTGTTGAAATTGCACTTTGTAACACAGGGTAGCCTAGCATATACAATGCCTCAATTGTTCTTAGATTTACTGAGGGCTGAGAACTGGAAACAAATGCATAGGAAATGTGTGCAGAGAAATCAAAAGAAAAGCCTATACAAATGACAAGATTAATCATGGATATGGAATCAAGATTGACCTTCCAGAATGCCATGAAACCCGTTACTCCTACAATAACAGAACCAATAGCAAAAGTTACCCACAAGGAGCACAGTGGGTGAGGAATTAACAATAAGGAAACAACAAACATAGCTGCTGATGCCACAATGACATTTCGAATAGTGTTTTCTATTATTGCAGTATACTGATCAAAATATATGAATGCTGGGTTATACACCATTAGGGGAATTTCACAATTTTTGGCCAAGTCTCGGAACTGGATTAACATCTTTTTCTTCTTGGTTGAAGTAGAAATATCCATGGTCTGAATGAAGGCACGGGAAGAAATGATTTCATGTGATGATGAAATATTAACATCATACTTAAAATGTGGGAAATCCACAAAAAAACTGGAAATACTCTTCATAAAAGTATTCTTATCATTTATATCTTGCTTTTTATCTTTCATATATTGCACATATTCTCGTAACCAAAACTCTGTAAGAGCTTTATCTACATAGCCATTGTTTTCAAAATCTGCCAGACATTTTTCCAATTTTTGCCTAGCATCTTTATCCCAGTAGTCAAGAGTTTCAGTAACAATAACCATAACCTTGGGACCGTAACGTGGAAAATGACCTTCCTCTACATCAAAATATGGTGTAATGTAGGAATCGTCACTTGCCAAATTTCGAAGGTCTAAACCTTCCTGCACTTGGAAACATCCATATATACTACTTATGAGGTACGATATGTACAGAAGCACTACAAAAAACTTGGTCTTAGTGCTTGTGAGAAAAGGACCAAAATGGTCTCTAAAGAACAAATTCATTGGATGGATATCAGCTTCCAGTTCATCTGGGAGAGAATCAAATGGGAGACAGCAGCATCTTTTTAATGAGTAACATTTCTTGTCAGCCATATCTGGCTTTTTTAACCAACGTAGACAGGCTACTTCTCTTTTACCATCCAGGGCCAAAACTGCTCCAAAACAGGTGATGGTATACAAATAACAAAAGAACAGGGTTGTTCCTGTATAGATGCAAAAGTACTGTATAGATCTGAAGGAGGTCATAATTCCCGTATAGAAGGCCAGGATGTTAGTGACAGTGGTGATTGTAATGGACACTGCCACTTTTGAATAGGTCCTGGACAAACGATGTCTTATGCTATTGACGAGTTTGGTCTTCTGCCAGCCGGAAATCATAATAAACATGTCATCGACCCCAACACCTGTTAATAAAAGAAACAATCGTCATAAATATTAATTTCTATTAAAAAATTAAACAGATCACCCTGCCCATGTGGCTTAGTTGGTCGAGTGTAATCCCGTGCACCTACAGGTCACTGGTTGGATTCCCTGTCAGGGCACATGCCTAGGTTACAGGCTGATCCCCAGTAGGAGGTGTGCAGGAGGTGATGGATCAATGTTGTGCTCTCACATCTCTCTCTCTCTCTCTCTCTCTCTCTACCCCCCCCCTTCTCCTTTCCTCTCTCTCTGAAGTCAATGAAAACTTATTTTAAAAATTCAAATAGATCAATTCAAATCATCTTATTTTTCCATTTCTTTCAGGTCTTATTTACCTTGCCCAATCTGTGCTTTGATGCTACTTTCTCTCATTGCCTCTGAATCCACAACAGAATTCATCACTCCTTCTTCTGTAATAACTCTGTGCTTTGTACATACTCCTATTCTTTGGACATAGCACAATATATTCTACTCCTAATCTTCATTTAAGGAGTTTCAATGATGAGTCAGGAAACCTGGTTGACTGGTTGTTAGTGGAAGCAGGGTTAGCAATGCATCTTTGATTTTGATAGATTACTTGAGAAACCATTTTCTCTCATAAGTCGTTTCATACTAATGCACAAACACAATGAGCAATAATTCTGTTGCTTAAAATATAAGTTGGATTTACCTGTTCTACAGTAAGCATCTAGCTATCAATGTGGTATCATTTGAGAGGCACCACATAGTTTATAGACACACACACACACACACACACACACACACACACACACACACACACACAGTTTTCCTGCTGGTCTGTTTTTGATAGACAGAATGCTATCATTCAAACTTCACTTGCCCAGTTTAAGGTCTTCTCTCATTAAAATGAAAGTACTCTTGATATCAGAATTATGTCCCAAAATAAATATCAAGGATCCTTTACATATTAATGCCTACTAGGTGATTAGTTCTTTTCTACACTGACATTTCATGATTGGTTTGAAATAAAGGAGACTTTGAAATTGTCATTAAAGACTGGGAAAGGAGGACTATAAAGAAGAAAGGGGATTAGAAAGAAAGCATGAGCATGCTGCAGATACATTTTACTTCCTCACGCTTTCTACTAGAGCAATGATACAGTCAGTACTTGGAAGTAAAATGCTGATCTTAATTTAAATTTTGGGGGATCATCTCTATGGATTGCATGGATTGCAATGGAGATTGCAAGTCTGCCTCTAATTCAGATGTTCTATGGGTATAATCGAGGTAGAAGTACCTACATTAAAATAACCAAGAATGAACTCATTGATATTTATTAGGTATCTAAAATCTGGTTTTTGCCCAGCCACCATGGCTCAGTGGTTGAGCGTCGACCTCTGAAACAGGAGGTCACAGTTTGATTCCCGGTCAGGGCACTTGCCTAGGTTGCAGGCCTGATCCCCCATGGGGAGTGTGCAGGAGGCAGCCAATCAATGATTCTCTCTCATTATTGATGTTTCTATCTCATTCTCCCTTCCTCTCTGAAATCAATAAAAAAAATATAAAAGACAAAAACCAACAAACTAGTTTTATTATTTATAGGACACTGTTAAGAAATTGTCCATATACAGTTTTTGAGTTGCTGCAATCACAAACACACTCACACACAAACACTCCTATGTACACACAGACTATACAAAAAATGGTTTATATTAAGTCAGTTATACACACTTTACTTATTTATGGCTGTGGGGAAGATTGAGAGATTAAATGTGGGTCTATAGGAAGAAGGTATGCACTGAAGAGCTAGAATAAATAAGCTGAATTCCGGTGTATAGCTAATCCACTATCTCCCCCAGGAAACCAAATATTATTTCTTTCAAGTTGCTTGTTTTCCAAAATATAAATACCTTTGTTTTCTCATGCTTACTCTAAAATAAATTCTGAAATTACAGAGAAATACAAACAAAAAATTTAAGCGACTGTAATTCCATCCTTGTGATAATTCCTGCTAACATTTTGATGTTTATCCATTCAGAATTTGCTCTATACAAATGTACCACTCTATTTCAAAATTTCATTTCATAACCATATTTTTTCATTTAATATTTCATTAAATGAAATATTTCATTTTTCATTTAATGTGTCTACTTCTTTTTAAAGACTGAAAATGATTTCAAAACTTTAATATGCTATATTTGAATTGACCAATCCCATCTTGATATGGGATTAGGTTGTTTTCAATATTTTCCTATTCTAAATGACACCAAAATGAACATGTTCTACTTTTCGAGCAATTGTTCAATTAATAGGACAAATTCCTAGCAGTGTAATTGATAGATCAAAGGTATTTCTTCTAAAATATTTATTAAAATATATTTTTATTGATTTCAGAGAGCAAGGGAGAAGGAGAAAGACATAGAAATATCAATGATGAGAGAGAATCATTGATCAGCTGCCTCCTACATGCCCCTACTGGGGATCGAGCCTGCAACCCAGGCATGTGCCCTGACTGGGAATCGAACCATGACCTCCTGGTTCACAGGTTGATGCTCAACAACTGAGCCACACTGGCAGGGCCCCCTTTAAATTTTTAAGTATTTTTTATTTGTTGCAAAGTTGCACTAAAAGAAAGTGTGTCCCAATTTAAAATTTCCCCCAGCAAAATATGCGTGCTCATTTGTACACAATTTTACCCAAAACTTCAATCTTACTAATTTTTATTAATCTAATAAGAAAATGAGGTATCTCACTCTTGGTTCAAGTTGAATCCCTTGATTAATGGAGAAATCAAATATTTTTTTCTTATATTTTCAATTTTTGGTGTGTATGTGTGTGTACAGCCTGTTCATGTTCCTTGTACTTCCATTTGGGGTGCTTGCTTTTTTCAACTCTAAAAATACATAATTCAATGTTATTTTCTTGTTTCTGGCACCTTATTTTGGATCTGTAGAGCAACTTAAACATAATTATTTTGCTTAATATAAAATAAGCTCCTTTCTTAGGTATCCTATAGCCCCAAATACTCAGTGTGTAGTCTCACATTTTGTTTTACTCACCTAGAACAAGAAATGGTGCATTTTTAATTATGGTCACAAATGGCACCCCAATGAACAACATCAGGCCAAAGCCGCTCAACACTGCGAAGGCAGTAGAAATCACTCCAAAAACTGCAACAAACATTTTGTTTCGTACACAGTCACACCTGTAAATTTGGAGGGAAAAAATCATGGAATTAGTGATGGTACTAAAATTCCATCAAGTCATAACAGTCTTGACTTAGGCATGTATTTAGAAACCTCTTGGGCAATAATTCCTAAACCTGTCTGCTGGAGACATTTAAGTTCCTGGCACTATGCAAGGGGAAAAAAGAGGAAGCAGAAAAGTTGGAAATCTTTACTTTTATCAAACTTCCCTGGGTGATTTTTATTTATTGATTGTAGCAGGAGAGAGGAAAGGAGGGAGGGAGGGCAAGAGAAAGAGAGAGAGAGAGAGAGAGAGAGAGAGAGAGAGAGAGAGAGAGATGGATTTGTTATTCTACCTACTTATTATGCAGTCATTGGTAGATTTTGTATGTGCCCAGACTAGGGATGGAACCTGCAACTTTGGCGTACTGGGACAATGCTTAACCAACTGAGCTACCTGACCAGGGTCCCTGGGTGATTCTTATATAGTTAGATAAGCACTCATCTACTGGCTGGCATTTTAGAACCATAAAGTTACACCAAAACACTGCAGGTGGTTCATTTCACTCTGTTTTTCAAAGGGATGTGGATGGAATACAATAGAAGTGGAGGGCAAGCCTCACCTGTATCAGGTCTTAAATAGCTCCTGCGTTTCAAAGCTAGGTCAATATATATTGTGGTTAACAAAGATTATGCAAAGCCTCCTTCTAAAACATTTTCATGATTGTCATCTATTGGTGAAGTGGGCTGTAGGAAAAGTTGCTACTAAATGCAAAAAAATTTTTTTTGAATCACACAACCAATGTCTGTTTTGTTGTTGGACAAACATAAATGGGGAGATATACACAGCATTTTAAAGTATGGATTCAATACTTTACCTCTCCAACAACCACAACAGCATATTTTAATATATTGACAACAATCTCTGGTTTTATATTTTACTTGGTTGTTAACTGCTTCAAAACAAATGACTGATACCTGCCTCTAGATATCTTTAGTAGAAGAGAGAACTTACGTTTGAAAACTAGAAATGTCATCTATAGAAGTGGTTCTCAACCTGTGTGTCACGACCCCCCTGGGGGTCGCCTAAGACCATCGGAAAACACATATATAATTACATGTTGTTTTGTGATTAATCACTATGCTTTAATTATGTTCAATTTGTAACAATGAAATTGGGGGTCATCATAACATGAGGAACTGTATTAAAGGGTCGCGGCATTATGAAGGTTGAGAACCACTGATCTATAGAAATAGAGCCACTGATTCCAAAACAGCAAGAACATGATTAAAGACCTTCTTCTGGCAATACCACATTAAAATAGCTGAAATTTCTTATATTAAAAAACATTCTACAACATGACTGTATTTTATTTTTTATTATATTTAAAAATTTTTTAAATTATATTTGACATACAATATATTCATTTTAGGTGTAGAACCCAAGTGATTAGACATTTATATAACTTACAAAGTGATCACCCATTAAATCTAGAACTCATCTCACACCATACATACTTATTACAATGTTATTGACTATATTCCCTATACTGTACTTAAGATCCCCATGACTAGACTGTAACTATAAATTTATACTTCCTAATTCATTCACCTATTCCACCCACCCCCTTCACCTCCCACCCATCTGTCAATCATCAAAATGTTCTGTATCTATGAGTCTGATTCTGCTCTGCTTGTTCGTTTATTTTGTTTTTTAGATTCTACATGTAAGTGAAATCATATGGCATTTGTCTTTTCTTTCTCTGTATGACTTATTTCACTCAGCGCAATATCTTCTATGTCCATACGCGCTGTTACAGATGTCAAGATTTCATTATTTTTTACTAGAGGCCCGGTGCACGAATTCATGCACCAGTGGGGTCCCTCAGCCTGGCCTGTGGGGATCAGGCCAAAACCAGTTCTCTGACATCCCCCAGGGGTCCTGGATTGTGAGAGGATGCAGGCCAGGCCGAGGGACTCCACCGGTGCACGATTAGGGCTGGGGAGGGACTGTGGGTGAACTCCAGGGTGTGTCCAGCCTGTCTTGCCCAGTCCCGATCGGCCAGACCCCAGCAGCAAGCTAACCTACTGGTCAGAGTGTCTTCCTCTTGGTGGTCAGTGCATGTTATAGCAACTGGTCGAATGGTTGAATGGTCGGACACTTAGCATATTAGGCTTTTATATATATAGATGGTTGGGTCATATTCCATTGTATAGATGCACCACGTGTTCTTTATACATTCATCTATTGATAGGCCCTTAAGTTGCTTCCATATTTTGGCTATTGTAAGTAATGCTTCAATGAACATATGGATGCATGTGCTTTTTGATTTAGTGTTTTGAGGACCCAGAAATGGAATTGCTGGGTCCTTCGTTGTCTCTTTTTATAGTCTTTGTTTTAAAATCTATTTTGTCTGATATAAGTATTGCTACCTAAGCTAAGCTTTTTTAATTTTGTTTCTATTTTCTTGAAATATCTTTTCCCACTGTTTTACTTTCAATCTGTGTATGTCTTTCAATTTGAAGTGAGGTCTCTGATACACAGCATATGTTTTCTTATACATTTAGCTACCATATGTATTTTGATTGGAACATTTAATCCAAAGATATCACAAGAAAACTACATAGCAATATCTTTATGAATATAGACATAAAAGACCTCAACACAATTCTAGCAAGGCCAATTCAATAGCATATTAAAAGGGTTATACACCTTATAGACCAAGTGGGATTTATCCCAGGAATGCAAGAGTAGTTCAACATAAGAAAATCAATGTAATACACCACACTAATACAACAAAAAATAAAAACCATATGATCATCTCAATAGATGTAGAAAAGGCATTTGACAAAATCCAACACCCAAAACCAAGGAATAGAGAGGACTTCTTGTACAACTAACATCATACTGAATTGTGAAAAACTGAATGCTTTCCCTCTAAGACCAGAAACAAGATGCCCACTGTCACCAATGAGATTCAACATTGTGGTGTTAGCCAGCAATTAGACAAAAAATAGAAATAAAAGGAATCCAAATTGAAAACGAAAAAGAGTAACTAACTTTTCCCCCAGATTACACGATTCTATATGTGAAAATTCCAAAGAATCCATAAAAAAATGCTAGAGTAAACAAACAAATCCAGCAAAGCTACAGGATACAAAATCAACACACAAAAATCAATTCTGTTGTTATCCATGTGCAATAAACAATCCCAAAAGCCAATTACAAAAGCAGTTCCATCTAAGTAGTGCCTAAAATAATACTTAGGGTCTAGCTGGTTTGGCTCAGTGGATAGAGCGTTGACCTGAGGACTGAAGGGTCCCAGGTTTGATTCCGATTAAGGGCACATGCCTGGTTAAGGTCTTGATCCCCAGTGGTGGGTGTGCAGGAGGCAGCCAATCAATGATTCGCTCTCATCATTAATGTTTCCATTTCTCTCTCCTTCTCCCTTCCTCTCTTAAATCAATAAAAATATATTTTTAAAAAATAGAATAATACTTAGGAATAAATTTGACCCAGGAGGTAAAAGGCTTGCACACTGAAAACTATAAAACATTGGTGAAAGAAACTAAAGAAGACCCAAATCAATGAAAATATTTCCTTAGTTCATGGGGAGGTAGATTTAATATTGTTAAAATGTCAATCTCATCTAAAGCAATTACAGATACAACATAATCTCTATTAAAATTCCAATGGCCTTTTTTTTCTATTCATAAATGGAAAAGTCAGCCCTCAAATTTTATATGAAATTTTAAGGGGCCTTGGATATCCAAAATAATCTTGAAAAAGAAGAAGGTTGGAGGACTGAAATTTCCAGATTTAAAAACTTTTAACAAAGCTACAGTAATCAAAATTGTGTGGTATTGGCATATGGAAAGACATATAGACCAATACAATAAAATTAAGAGTGCACAAATAAACCCATGTATATACAGCTAATTGATTTTTTTCTTCATCAAATGGCTCTTCTACAAGTACAAGAAAGGATTTAAACCCTTACTTCACACCATATACAAAAATAATTTAAAATTGATCAACAACTTAAATATAAGAGCTAAAACCATAAACTCTTAGAAGAAAACATAGGATAAATGTGCATTACCTTGGACTTGCTAATGGATTCTTAGATATAGCACCAAAAGCACAGTAGCAAAAGAAAAAATAGATAAATTGAACTTCATAAAAATTAAAAACTTTTGGGCATTAGAGGACAGTATCAAGAAAGTGAAGAGATAATTCACAGAATGGTAGAATCATATATCTTTCTGTTAAAGGTTTAATATCTAAAATATATAAAGTATTCATCAATAACAGGACTCAACAACAGAAGGACAAATGACCCCATTAAAAAATGAGTATAGGCTTTGAATAGACATTTCTCCAAGGAAGATATACAAATGGCCAATAAACACATCAAAAGATACTTATCATTAGTAATTAGGGAATTGTGACTCAAAACCACAATGAGATAATATTTTGTATCTACTTGAATGGCTATAATCCATAAAACAGAAAATGACAAGGTTGGTGAGGAAGTGGAGATGTCACTGGTGGGATATAAAAAGGTGTTTTCTGTGGAAAACACTTTAGCAGTTCTTCAAGAACTTAACCTGGAATTATCACACACCACCAATTCTACTTCTAGGTATATAATGAAAAAGAATTGAAAACTGGGGTTCAAATGGATATTTGTATACTAATGTTCATTGCAGCATTATTCATAATAGCCAAAAGGGAGAAATATTCCCAAGTGCCCATCAAAAGACAAGTGGCTAAATAAAATGTGGTGTATACATACAATGGAATATTATTAAGCAACAAAAATAAATGAAGTTCTGATACATGCTACAATATGGATGAACACTGAAAACATTGTGCTAAGTGAGGTAAACCAGTCACGAAAGGACAACTTTTATATGATCTCACTTATATGAAATCTGTAGAATAGGCAAATTCACAGAGACAAAGTAGATTGAAGGTTTACCAGGGCTGGGAGGAGGCAATGGGGTGTTATTGCTTAATATTACAGCATTTCTGCTCGGAGTGATGGAAAATATTTGGGAACAGAGAGTTGTACCGATTGCACAGCAGTGTGAATGTCATTAATACAACTGAATTGTAAACTCAAAATGGTTAAAATGACATTTTATATTATCTATATATACGTTTTACCTCAATAAATTAAAAAAAATAGTTTACAAAAACAAATAAAATATTTTACCTGTAGCATGATGCGATTGAAAATAATATGATTAGAAAGTATGCCACATAAAACAAAGGGATCACCGTCTTAGAAGTTGCCTCAAATTCCAGTTGTCTAGAAAGTGATGTAAAGTAGACCACCTGCCACAAAAATGTACTCAGATGAATAACTCTTAGTTATATTTGTGAATGAGTTACAAACACTATTAAAACACTCTAGCCTCTTGGTGAAAAAAATGTTCAAATTCATTAAAAGATCAAAATACATGAATGATCGTTTTAGAATAAAGAATATAGATTTGCTTTCCCCCCCCAAATCTCTGACATGCTCTCTAAAGTTTCTTACAAAAATCCAAAGTTTAAAATGTCTGAAAATACAAAACCTAAATTTTACATAAAACTGTGAAATCCTACATAAAGCCCTAATATGCAAATCGACCAAACAGAGGAACAACAGGTCGCTATGATGTGCACTGACCACCAGGAGGCAGACACTCAAAGCAGGAGCTGCCCCCTGGTGGTCAGTGCACTCCCACAGGGGTGCCGCTCAGCCAGAAGCTGGGCTCACGGCTGGTGAGCACAGGGGCAGTGGCGGGAGCCTCTTCCACCTCCGCTGAAGGTGGGCAGTAAGAAGCAAGGGGTCCCGGACTGTGAGAGGGTGCAGGCTGGGCTGAGGGACCTCCCTCTCCTGGTGCACAAATTTCGTGCATCGGGCCTCTAGTTATTAATAATTAAAGGACGTGTGGCTTTTTTCTAAAATTTTAGTAGGTTGTTATATTTTACTATTTTAATTGCATAAATATCCTTTCAGAAAGGCCTGGTATTCAAAGGCTTTTTCCAGTGGGTGACTCACTTTCACCAGGATATTCAGAAATATTAGTAGGTTTCCTAGCCCAAGAATTACTGAACAGTTACCATGTTTCTGGCACTATAATATAATTTACTTGAAAAAAAATGCTGAGCTAGTTATCTTTTTTCAGTAACACTATGGAACATTTGTTTGAAGTTTTTTTGTTTGTTGCTTTTTATTCCAGTGAAGTTCAAACAAATTTTAGGGGGCTCCTGGAAACAGCAAAGATTAACTTAAAGTAAGAATTAAAAGTTATTTGAGCACATTTTTGTGGCAGGTGGTCTACTTTACATCACGTTTTAGACAACTGGAATTTGAGACAACTTCTACAACAGTGATCCCTTTGTTTTATTTGGCATATTTTCTAATCATATTATTTTCAATTGCATCATGCTACAGGTAAAATACTTTCATTTCATTTTTTTTATAGCATGCTATGAGGTTGGCTGAAGCAAAATAAGCCAGTCAGAGAAAGACAAATATCACATGATCTCACTTATATGTGGAATATAATGATCACAATAAACTGATGAATAAAATAGAACCTCAGGCTTGGAAACATGGAACAGACTGATGAATCTCAGAGGGAATGGGGTAGGAGAGTGGTGGCGGGAAGAGATTAACCAAAGAACTTACATGAATGTTTTCATTGCCCACGAATACAGACAATAGGGTGGTGAAGGTCTGGTGCAGGTGCAGGGTGGGAACTGGATGGAGGGGAGTAAGGGGAAAAGAAAAGAGGGGTGTATCTGTAATACTCTCAACAATAAAGATAAAAATAATTAGTTCATCTGAGCCAGTGGAGAGGAAGAAGTTCATAAATATCGTTGTTTGCTTTGTATTTTTCTTTAAATGATAGAGTCAGCCAACTTTATAGCATGCATAAAAAACAAGACAACAAATAAAAATATTTTACCTGGGCATGATGCGATTGAAAATAATGTGATTAGAAGGTATGCCACATAAAACAAAGAGGGCACCATCTTAGCAATTGTGTCAAATTCCAGTTGTCTAGAAAGTGACCACCTGGCACAAAAATGTACTCGGATGAATAACTCTTAATTACAATATTTGCGAATGAGTTACAAACACTATTGAAGCACTCTAGCTTATTGGTAAATAAAATGTTTAAATTCTTTAAAAGATCAAAATACATGAATTATCATTTTAGAATAAAGAATATAGTTTGCTTCTTTCCCCAAATCTCCAGCATGTTCTCCAAAATTTCTTACAAAAATCTAAAGTTTACAATTTCCAAAAAATACAAAATCTAAATTTTACATAAAACTGTGAAATTATTAATAACTAAAGAAATTGTGGCTTTTTGTCTAAATTTTTATTAGGTTGTTATATTTCACTATTTTAATTGCATAAATATCCTTTCAGAAAGGCCTGGTATTCAAAGGCTTTTTCCAGTGGGTGACTCACTTTCACCCGGCTATTCAGAAGTATTAGTAGGTTTGCTGGCACAAGAATTATTGAACAGTTACCATGTTTCTGGCACTATGATATAATTTACTTGAAAAAAAAATGCTGAGCTAGTTATCTTTTTCAGTAACACTATGGAACATTTGCTTGAAGTTTTTTTGTTTGTTGCTTTTTATTCCAGTGAACTTCAAACAAATTTTAGGGTGCTCCTGGAAACAGCAAAGACTAACTAAAAGTAAGAATTCCCACGTAATTTGGCTGGAAAACCAATCCCCAAAACTAAGCCTGAAGATCAATGTCTGTACTGAACAGACCTACCTTGAGGATGTAGGATTTGTGTTTTCCACCCAAATGTTAACAAGGATCTAAGATTTGTGGCATCCTTCTGGGTGTTAAAGAAAGTTGGATTAAGTGCCAAATACAGTAGCACACACTCAGCTTCAAATCAAGGACTCCATCACTCAGGGGTGCTATTGCTATCTATGGATCTATGGTCCTTGGAACACGTCGTCTTATCCCTCCCACTTTCTCCTGGCCTCCCTATCAACCCCAGCTGCCACGTACCCGGATCATCTTCAAGGCCAAACTCTCTTTAATATTGCTAAATTCGTCCAGGAAATGTACGAGCCACCTCTTGCTATGCTCACTATTCTCTTTTTCTTGGGTTCTCAGGTAATATTGCAGCCGCATGGCTTTGGCCTGCAGGAGTAAATGGTTTGTTCCCATCTGCTTGCCTAAGATGGTTCCACCAAGGGTGCCCGCCAGGGAGACAGGCTGGCTGTTTTGGATGTAGAGGGGGAAGGTGATGCTTTTCAGGTCAAGCTTCTTATTCACCTGCCAGGTGAACAGGAGGGGGTTGGAGGGCACACAGATGCCCTGGTTCTTGGCACACACCTGACTGAAGAGGATCGGGGTTCCATCTTCCTGAGTCGCATTCAGAGCCTGCACCGCACTGTCTAATCTGCTAACTTCTGACAAGATTTCTTGTTTCAGCATGGTGTCAGAGTTTGACACCACTAGAATGGAAGCGAATTGGACCTCAGAGCTCATCCTGAAGATGGAGAAGTGAAAAGAGTCATTCGTGGTGAAATGTCCCTGCACAAAGCGCCGTTCTCCCTTGGCCGGGCTCCTGACGGGGGTGTACTGCTCCTCGAGGTCCTCTTCTTCATCCTTGGGCAGGTAAATGAAGCCAGTGCTCAGAGTAGTTGTCAGCAGAATGGGCACCAGCAGGAAGACCCAGGGGTGTGAGCCCACCTCCCACCCCAACCATCGGAAGGCCCGGGAGAGCGGAGCCTCCAGGCAGTTGGTGTGGCAGCGGTGCTTCTGAGACACTTCGGTTGAGGACCGTCGTAGAGGTGAATCCCACCCCACCGAACTTGACTCCTGCGACTCCATAGCTCCTGGTGGCTCTGCATGCTGCCCCGAAGCCCAGTCCAGCTCAGGTTTCTGTTCCAAGAGCAGCTCTGCCTTCTCAGGCGGGAGTGGTGCTGCCTGCAGATCTGCCCCTTCATCCAAGTCTGGTCCAGGCCCCCCCGATGGCTTCGGCAGGGACTCTGGTTGTTGCTTCTCTGTGGGCTCGGGCTCCATACCTGGGCCAAGCTCAGATGTGTTGAGACTCCTTTCCATGAAGGAAAGGCTAGTAGCTGCTGGGTGAGCACCTATCTCTACCGCAGCCAACGGTTTCCCAACGGATTCCCAACGGTTTCCTGGAAATTCTAAGAAGTCTGAACATGGCTGCTCCTGCCTGGATGCTGGAGCTTCCACTGGGGAGCACGTGACTTGTAGCCCGACTAGCCCCAAATGTGTCCTCTCAGGATTTCGTTAATAGAAAAAAATACTTCAGTATTTTAGCGCTGCTCCCAGGGGCTTCAAGGTTTGGCTCCTCAGAGAGAGAGGGCTGAGTGATTTTTTTAAATTGAATTTATTGGGTGACATTGGCTAATAAAATTATATAGGTTTCAGGTGTACAGTTCTATAATACATTGTCTGTATATTATATTGTGTGTTCACCACCCCAAGTCAAGTCTCCTTCCATCACCTTTTATCCCCCCTTTACCTTCTTCTACCTCATCCCACCTTTTTTCCCTCTAGTAATCACCATACTATTGTCTGTGTCTATGAGGTTTTTTTCTTAATCTCTTAAATGCTATGACAGAAGAGTAAACTGGTTAGTGGTGGTGTGTATGTATGTGTGTGTGCAAGCTAAGGAATCAGGACTTCTTTTTTAGCAGCTCACAGAAGTCTTCTTAGGGCTGTTTATATTACTTTTCATGCATGTTTTGATCTATGAATTTATCTTTACTCCCTAATCTATAGAGGAAAACCCTACCATATTTTAGACCCTTAGCTTTTAGTAGTTCTCTTGCCACTTGGTAAGGAAAATGTAGAAGGTCAAGAAAAGAAGAAAAGGTTTGAGAATTTGTGTGGTAAGTAACATCTACGCATTTTTATTCTGTTGGGAGAATGACATTCACTTAATATACGCCAGTGATTCAAAACGGGTGGACACCGTGTTAGAAAATGGTAGGAATGTTAGATATTTGATTCTGATCACGAGTTGGCCCTCTTTGTGAAGTCAGTATCGACATCTGAGGGCACAGATGCATTTCCCTAGGAACTGGCTTGAATTTGGAGTTGGGAACAGGGGTTGAAAGATCAGGGTCAGCAACAGGAGAGGAAAGCAGAGAGTTGGGCCTGGAGCGGATTCTGAGGATGGCAGTGGTGAAAGCAAAGGCAGGCAAGGTGGACTCGAGGGTCTCCTGAATTAAAAGGCAGGATGAGTGGGAGAGAGGGCACTGCTGGGAGGAAGGTATTTCATTAAACTGAATTCTACTGAAGCCAGCCCCTGGGCAGTGCTGACACAGACCAAAGCAGGACTGGCGCGGGGATACAAACTGCTGCATAAATTATACTAAATGAGTAACACATGGGAAAGGTCTCAGACCCGTCCCTGACACATAATGAACATTCAATTAGTATTTTTCATCCCCTTCCTGCTTTTAAAAAATAAAAAAATAAAAAATTATATATATATATATATAAAATTGATTTTAGAGAGGAAGGGAGAGGGAGAGAGAGATAGGAACATCAATGATGAGAGAGAATCACCAATCGGCTGCCTCCTGCAACCCCCCACACTGGGGATTGAGCCTGCACGCATGTGCCCTCACCAGGAATTGAACAGTAACCTCCTGGTTCATAGGTCAATGCTCAACCACGAAGCCATGCCTGCAGGGCCCTTCTTGCTCGTGATGATGCTACCAGGTAGCACATAAAACACACTGTGTTTGCTTGGGCCAAAAGCATCATTTCGACAATATTGTCTCAGCAGCATTTCCAGTGCAATTAAAAGTTGAACTCAATGTGTGAAATGGTGGAGAAAAATAGCAGTCACTGATCAGGAGAGAACACTTCAGCCTTAGCTGGAGTTGAGAAAGAAATAACAGGGGTCTCATTTACCCTGGGGGAAGCAGGAGTATCTGGAGGCCCAAAGCTAAGGGGCTTAGTGACCATGACTGTGAGAGGCCTAATAAGCCTGAATTCCCAGATCTCAGCATCAGACCTGAGGCCTAGGAGCTGGGCAAGCACATTTGTTGAAAGAATGAACAAAGGGCTCAAAAGTGGTCACTTTTCTCTTCCTCCTCCTTCTCCTCCTCCACCTCCTCTTTGTTCTCTACAATTCAGCATGGAATTGCTGACAGAGCACAGGATCGGATCGCTGGGAAGGAACCTGTGTTCCCTCTCAAATGCTAACTAGTTGGGTGGCCCTGGGCAGCAGCCTGCACTACATCCATGGCTTTCAAGTTTTTACCGTAAGGAACAGTAAGAAAATACATATTACATGGCTGTCCCAGTACATACCTATTTATGAAAGATAGAACATACTCTTATTATGTGTAATGGTATTTTTTATTTTATTTCATTTAAAAAATGCAAGCTTTGACCCAATACACCAATTCTTGGGCCCATTAATTAGCAACCAACCTGCAGTTCCTCCTAAAGCCCCCTTCCCAAAGAAACGGGACCAAATAAAATGCATGGACTTTGCAATCTCTGGTTTTATCTCTGTGCTCTTCAACTGCATATAAATATCTAGTTCACTGCTCCAAGTGACTTAACAATGACAATTATTTTCCCTTTCCCTGGGGAATTCTTCTTCATCCCCATCTCTTCCAGTTGAAGGCCTGTAGAAAATGGCACACGTTCACGAAGAGCTCTCTCTATTTTTTCTTTCCCAGTTAGCATGCAAACAAACAGGACTGCCTTCTTCCGCCTCTGAAATTTAAGGGCCCTATTCGATATATTTATGTGGGCCTCATTTTATGTGTTTTTGTGTTTATTGGTGCAGACCCATGTTACACGAGCCCCACTGCCACCACGCGGCTTAAAACTCAAGAGAGTTGGGTTCTAACCTTTTCCAGCACAGTGAAGAACAGACCCCCACTGTGCTCCCGTTCCTCAACACCAAACTGCCCTTTTCCTCCTCAATGTGCCAGTGAGATTCCTCGGGGTGGAAGGGTAGGAGAATGGGAGAAAGATATAAAATCTCACAGCTCTGGAGCACAGCAAATAATGCGGTGGGGTATACATTTATTTAGAAAACCACAGAGCAAGCCTCAGGAAAAAGCATGTAATCGAAAGGCCAGGGGGAGAGCTTGGGTGATCAAGAGCGCTCCTTGCCCAAAGACCTTCTGATAAAAAGGAACTCTTAGTTTTTTGCAACAGCATGGATAGACCTGGGGATTATTATGCTAAACGAAATAAGCCAGATAGAGGACAAATACCATATGATCTCATTAATATGTGGAATCTAGTGAACAAAAGAAACTGAGGAACAAAACAGAACCAGAGGCATGGAAGTATGGAACAGATTGACAAATCTCAGAGGGAGAGGGGACTGGAGGCAGGAAGAGATTAACCAAAGAATTTATACGCATATATGCATTACTCGTGGACACAGACAATAGGGTGGTGAAGCCCTGGAGCCAGGCAGGAACCATGGAGGGGGGCCATCGGGGATAAAAGGGAGGAACATCTATAATACTCTCAACAATAAAGATAAAAAGTGCAAGAGGGGTGGGGGGGGGGGGGGGGGGGGGGGGGGGGGGGGGTGGGCTGGGTAGAGGTGGGTAAAGCGGAGGGATTGGGGACATCTATAATAGTGTCAACAACTAAATACATTTTTTAAGAAAACCTTTAGATGTTGAAGGAAGGTATCTTCTGTCCCTTGAAACTTGGCTCAGCATCACGTGAACTGGAGAACTGGATGCAAGTGATGGCTTCAGAGTCAGGGAAGAGGGGTCGCCAAGCTGCCTGCGGGTCACAGTACCTTTCAGAAGGGCACAGGTGTGACAGAGGAGGGCACAACAGGGGTAGGTGCGCCTGTTTGCGCCCTGGGCGAGAGCCTGCAGTGAAAACAAGGCTGGAGAGGTGAAGGAAAAGAACACCTCTCCGCATTTTCTTCTTCCCCCACCCCGCACACCTGAAATAGAAATAGCAACATGGGACAAAATGCTTACAACCATGTTATCTCTGCACTTACCTTGCCTCCCTCTGCAAAGCGTATAGGGTATAAGGTGCAGATGGCGGCTATCGCCGCGGGCTAGCCTCGGAAGCAAAGGTTCGGGCTGGAGTGGGTGCGCGCGCGGGTACCCACTTTTAGGGAGGCCGGCTTCCTGCCCTCTCACCCCAAAGCCCGGGCTGACCCCACCCCGCCTTCGCCTCTTCTCCTCCCTCTTTCCCCGCCCTCCCCCTGGCAGGGCTCCCGGGCACCGGC